AGAGAGAGAGAGGGAGGGGGGAAAATGTGCAACGTACAACAGGCTTTAAAATGACAATTACGATCAGAGAATAGTGTGCGAAATTGAAGCGACGAGCGTGAGAGCGAATGTCTCAATTTTAAAGAGGTCAGTGTAGAATCTCTCACAGACCGTCTTGTTATATACGTTATTATTGCCAAAGAGATATACCTCCTACGAATCTCATTTATATAATTTGATCTCGTCACTGTTTACGAGTCACGGAATTGATTTAATCGATGATTTAATCCCGTCGTCGTCCCGGACGAAAGTTCGAAGTTTCGAGAAACTCGAGGCGCCTCTCCTCTTTATAGCTGCGCGACGCGACGTTACGTGCGTCAAATGACATTCGCCCGCGTTTCTCCGTTTCCTCGGTCCACGAAATCTCTCTCTCTCTCTCTCTCTCTCTCTCTCTCTCTCTCTCTCTCTCGCTTTCCCGATCCTTCAAATTATTGGAGCGCTTCAATTGCACACATTCATGAATGACAATCAAATTTGAACTAGAGAGATTTATACGAGCAAATAACAATAGATATTATTAACCCGTAAGGACACCTGGGTGCGAATTCGCACCAAGCGTTTTGGAAGTTTTATATCTTCTGAAAATAAAAAGCAAAATTGAAGCAAAAAAATGTGTGTTTCTCAATGTAACATTTTCTGACCAATCGATTGGTAATATTAAATTTTCGAAAAAAGAACGTAATTGTTTTCAAAACTTCGTGTTAAACAAAATCATTCAAAACAAAGCCCTTTACGGGTTAAAGTTTATCTTATATTAGCGTAAAAAGAAATTTGCTGAAACTGATTATAGCAAAATAATTCGTATTTATGGAATTAAGAGCGTTAATTGCTTTGTAGTTTTATTTAATTACCTCAGAAATTATCGATAATAAATGTATCGAAAAACAACGAAATGGGAAAATGATAAATTTAAGGTAATAATTTGAATTTGTATAAATAATGATTTAATATTTTAAAATGCATTTCAAAAATATTTGTCATGAATTTTCATTCGTCGTGAATTATATATGAGCATACCTCCCTCTTCTTTTTTGTATAGTTTGCGAAGTTATTATACAAGCTGTGACCTTTTAGGATTCAGGCGTTCCGAGCAGCTGCCGTGCGGTCTTTTTAGTCGAGAGAAAAAGGCGGCAAAATATCGTGGTGTAAAAGCAAGTAATAGTAACCGTCGCTACGTGATGAGATCGACAACAATGTCGACAACAATGACGTCAGCAATTCGAATTATGCAGTCGACGTCATTCTTGGAATTTCCTCGTAACTACCAAATTGCTCAGATTACAACAGAACTTTCAACGCAGAGAGAAGAGAGAGAGAGAGAGAGGGAGGAAGGGTGGAGTATTCAAAGTGCAAATTACTGTTTATACTTTCTCTTGCAAGTTGTTTATTTTTTAACAAATATTTTCGAATAATATCAATGTAATTGTAAAATTACTTTTCCGGAAAGACTCTTATAGTTTTTGCAGATATACAATAAATGAGAATATCTTATTCTTTAATTAATTATACTTAGTTCAGAATGTTTTATAACGAACTGCTTGACGCCAAGAGTTATTTCCTCCCAGCCATCCCCTAAGGCAACGAGTGTTAATTACAGACGAGTGTTAATTACTCCTCGGGTGATTCGAAGATGACGTTTCCTCAGCGAGAAACTAATGCTTCCGTCAATGCGCGGAATCCTCGCGCGTAATCTTGCGAAAAGCCGACTATCGACGCACGTATAAGATGATTTCGGATATGCTCCTCCCCACATATGTACTGCGACGTCAAGTCGCAACATTCCGGGAGGCACGCGGCACTCGCGGCTTCAGCAGCATCGGGGATTACGATTTCGCGTATTGACGACGGGTCCCCCCCCCTCCCCCGCGCTAATGACACGCGCGATGTAAACTCGCGAATGTAACCACACAGCTGACGTTCTCTGCAGAAGGGGGAATTGTAATTATTATTATGTACGATATGAGCTTACCGCGTCGCGCATCGCACGGCGTGCAAACACGACGTAATGCAATCGTAACGTCGGCGTACGGCGGTGCACGGCTACGCCGGCATGACAGCATCACGTGCGGAAGGTCTCGGTGCCGCGGAAGTGCGCGCCGCTGTGTGCGCGACCTATTATTGCAAGCTAAACAGACGAGCCCGTGTCTGTGCTGGTTTCCTTAATGGCGAGTCAGGCCATTAATGGAGAGAGACGGACTTCGGAGCGGCGTTACCATGCGGCGTCGCGTATATACTCGAGGAAATGTGTATCACTGCATGTGGATAGACACGTCGCGCGATCAGTTCGAGGGATGTGCAGGCCCCAGGCGTTTAGCGATATGGAGCGCGATCGAGCGCGTCGCGAGAGTCCGTAAACCTATTAACCGTATATACTTTCTTACTACGCTGACGATTCTCTCCACGTTAGCGGTGGCGATTAATACCCGAAATCCCGGGAAAGATCTTGATTTTAAGCGCCGGATAAATCACGCGTTTTCCCCCCGCGGTAAAGGGGAACTTCGTTGCGCAGAGTGGCCGGGTGAAACCGCGCCGCGGTGGCGCGTCGTCGAAGAAAAGAAAAAGAAGAAGAAAAAAGAAACGGATTGGCGCGGATCGAGGAGATCCGAAAGCCCAAAATGAAATTACCTCGTAGATGGAAGCCGTGAAGATGGTCAGAGAGCACTCGGATCCTCGGGATTGGATAAAACAGGTAGCCCGTTCCTGAATATATTTCGCGAGATTTACGAAATTTAAAGGCTCTCTCGCCTAGTGGCTGCGCGGTGAGGCGGGGGAGGGGGAGGGCGGAAGGGCAGGAGGGAAACGGAGAGCCGATGAACCTCTCATAAAGAACAGCCGAGCTTTCCGTGAGATTTTTCAAGATTAGCATGGAAAAGCCGGGGGACTCCGCAATGGCGGGGCAAGAGGGGGAGGAGGGGGGAAAGGGAGGGGACAGCTTGTCAGATTTTAATGGCCTACGAGAGTCCCAGAGAATTAATGAGCTCTCTTTCTCTCTCTCGACGGCCGAGCTCGAGATGTGAATGCGAAAACGCTCGGGAATCAGTTCGATTCAACCGACCTAACCGATTCGGTCATTAAGTAACTTTATTTGTGAAGAAACTTGGGCGATATTATATAATGGGGCACAAATAGAGTCGCAAATTGCGCCGTTCTGACGTTTGTCGAAACACTCCATTTTTTTCAATCCATATTTCTCTCTCTCTCTCATCTGCATTAATTGCCCAAGTAGAGTAGAATATTCCCTTTTACACTATGAAATATATATTTTACAAGTGCTTCATATATATTTACACACACACGGCGCGATATTAAAACTTGACGAGGACCTGAAATTTATTCTGCGCGTTGCCACCGGAAAGATATCTTACACCGCGACATAAAATATGTCGGAACGAAACGTATATACATATATATATATATATATATATATATATATATATATATGTATATGTGATACACATATGAGATAGGGACACATACCTTATCATAACCGCGGGAACAGTCCTCCGCCGAGCACGGCGGGGGCTTGCGTATACTGACTGAAAAATTACGAAAAATTTAACTCGCGTTTACGACGTACACGTGACTTATACAGCATTACGGACAATTTTACGTCCGTGAAACAGATAGCGCGTCCCGTTTGCGGTCGATTTTCAGCACTGCGTGCGATGTATACGTAAGAGTTATCGATAACGAAGGGGTGACTCGATTACGGGGGCCGCAATTAACGACCGTTTAATGTCCGCCCGGTGAGAGAGTATCGTATATCTTACCGTGTACATCACAGGCAGAATTTTTATTTTAAAGCACGATGAAATATTGCGCGACACGATTAAATAAAATTGCACATCTTCATAAATAATATGTTAAAACACATTTTTTTTACTATTATTATCCATAGCTATAGTTGTATCCAGGGTTGGAAAAGTTACTTTGTAAAAATAACTAGTTACAGTTAGATACAGTTTTCGTCTCTCTAAAAGTAACTCGTTACCGTTACAAGGTACCGATTCTGAAAAGTAAAGTAACATGTTACAGTTACAGTTAGGTTACTCAAAAAGTAACAAATCGTTACTTTTCAGTTACTTTTAATAGAGCAGTATTAGCATTATAAAAAAAGATTAGTTTACACTGTTAAATCTATAATGTTAAACTGAACACTTATTTAAGTTGCCACTGCTCCTACTTAATAAATAGTTATTTTTTACTAAAACAATGGAATTAAATAATTTAAAACAGTTCAATTTTGGATTAAATTCTATCGTTTTATTTAAAAGTAACTATATTGTTTTAGTTAAAAATAATTATTTATTAAATAGGAGCAGTGGCGATTTAAATAAGGTTCAATTTGACACAATAGATTTAACAGTGTATATCTATATAATTTTATTTAAAAAAGAAAAGTAATGCGCGTATTTAAATACGAGCATTTAAATATTTCGCATAATTACAATCAATATTACGATTAGGTGATTGAGCGAAAGTATTGCATAATTTTGATCCATGAAAGTGACGATATAACGTAACTGTAAAAGTATCTATTAAATTAGTTACTAGTTATTTAAAAAATCTAACCAAGTTAAGTTACAGTTACATATGGAAAGAAAGTAACGAAGTTAAGTTACAGTTATTGAAAAAAAAATAACTGTAGCTGTAATTTCGTTACTTTCCAACTGGACTTGTATCATTCAAAATTTTATATTAGCACCGTGCGCGACGAGATACTATTAAAAACTGTCAATCCTGGGCAAATTTTTGTGACCATCAAAGAGGTCCGAAAGGCCCAGAAGTAATTGCAGAACGTCGATGTTATTCACTATTAACATAAATTTGTGATTATTAACATAAATATTTGAATAATACATTATTAAAATCATTATTTTTTTTATATAAATGCTTTATAAATAAGTACAAATACTTATAATCCTTATAATATCATATATATTGCCGCAAAATTACAATTTCTTTCTACTGTTACCATTTTTATGAATAATTAAACACGGTAATTATAAAAATGCAGTTTTAAATAAAATTAATTATTAGCAAGTTGTAAATATATGTACATGTCTAAAAACATTATTCTAATAATAAATCATAAAATTAATATTATATTATGGACTAATTCCTTAAATTTTAACAATTGCTAAACAGCCACGTTAACTCCCATAAGATTGTCAATCTTCAATAGCATTTCGTCATCGGTGATATTAGATTTATTCTTCACATCGCGTAGTTTTGAAAAAAACTATAACTGCGATAGCGTCGGTGAGTAACCATCAAGTCGCTGCTGAAAAATCAGGTCAAACACATCAGATGACCCGACCGTGGCGGTCAACGTGTTAAGTTTCGGCTCAAATATCCGCGTCTGCCATTGAATTAGATCGTCTCCCAGGGAGGTAGATGTGACAATTCGCGGCGCAAATATCGGGGGATCGGTCGCTGAGCGACGCCGTCGCGTCGCGTCGCGTCGCGTCGCGTCGCCGCCGTCCCGTGGCCGAGTCGCCTCTGCGAGTGTGTACGCGCGCGATGCGAGTGGCAATATTTCGTACGTAACTGCGAAGGAGTTCCCGGGTTTTTTGAAAATGCTCACCGCCGTCCCGTGACCTCCCGGAAGGGCTGCAGGCCCGTGTCCCGTGCGCGCGGGGGGGTGAGATCGCCGATTTTCGCCGTCGGATAATTCCGAGAAATGAGAGTCCCGCGGCCCGTCCTGATTCTCGCCGCCGTGATCCTGGACCCGACGTTGTTGCTCCTGGGGGAGGCGGTATGTCACCGTAATGACTCCGACTTAAGTGCCGCCGGCCAAAGGTCGGGAGAGACTTTGCTCAGACGTAGACGGGAGCTCACTTTTCCAAAGGGAAGCGCCTTCGTGGTGAGTCCGTCGACGGCCGGGTGTGCTCACAACGGGCGGTAGGGGGAGGATCGGGTGGACAGATGGGAGGGGTCATCTTTTGTTACGCTTGACTTTTATGAGGGTGTCACCGCTTGCCCTGCGGAGGTCGAGATCGGTTAAATCAGTTAGACGGGTATAGGGCACCTCATTTTACCGCGATAACTGCGCCTTTATGAGAAATTATCCCGAAAGCGGACACGTTCTATTAAAACCGCATTTATTCGCGCAGTGTATAAAATTGCACATCTTTTTCTTCCCTTGGCTTCATTGATTATTTATTAGCAAGTATAGGGAAAGATATGTCATCTTATTGTTTCGTAATTACTTAATAATAAGATGAAAGTACGATTACTAATGTAAGAAGAAGAAAGTTTTTATCTCTTCAGAAATATTTCTTTATTAAATTTCCCTTCTGCAACTGATAATCCGATTACTTAAATTAGTTTGGTCAAATTATAGAAAAATTGCAATTTTATTATATTACTCACATTAGATACACGTGGAATTGTCTGTTTAGATGACCCTGAGTCTTCTGAAGGCTATCCAGCTTAATGAGCCAAAAAGTTGGAACCTAGATCTAGAATTCGACACGATATGGCCTATACCTAGCCAGGAAGATTTGAGGAGAGTTGCGATCAGAAGACCGTCCAAACTGAAACGACGACACAGACGCGAACTCTATGCCAATTTGGAATTAGCACTGGACAGGTAAGAAGAAAATTATTTCCTTTTTATTTAAATATTTTGTATAAATATTTTATATAAATTGTGATTTTCAAAAAATTCGTGAAAGCGGTCAGGATTGAAACATAATTTTTAATGTTCAAATTATGCAAGAAAAATATGTTATCGAATTACTGTATAACTTTGAAATTTAAAGCAGACATATGCACATATACGCGATTGTTTGTAATAAAGAGTAGAAAAAGGAGGTGTTGCAGTCATTTAATTATGTATAATATTATAATACCAATCTTGTAATTAAATTATATTGAACATGCATTAAATATTACAACACAAATATTATAGCACAAACATGTTTGTGCTATAAATGTATAGCTGCAGGCATCCTTTGGAAATTGTGTGTTATGTTTTAGAAAAAAAGATCGAATTCTCTTAATCAATTAACATCGATTGTTATCTATTTTAGTCGAAATCTACCAGGACGATTATGCATTCTGCGCACAATTTGCGAGGCGGAAACGTTACTAAGTCCCCCGGGATTTTCGATCATCGAGGACTCTATACGAATTATTTTAAGGTAAATATATTCTTAGCACATGTGTCTTCAAGCAAATCGGTTTTTATGAATTTTGACTTAAGTATTTTTTTTTCTACAATCGAATGCTTTTAACTTTGAATTTTTAAATAAATTACACACGAATGCGTTATAACAAAATTCAAGATTTATTATAATGCCACATTAAAGTGATAACTTTCAAGATTAGAAGATAAGAAATTTCGTGTGTTTTAGGAATTTCGAAGATGCTGATAATTATGACTGCTACGACGTCGCGTATCGAACGAAAAGTGACTGCGCGGTTGTTTATCCTTGTCCGTTTTCACTGTTGAAATTGTTGTTATATAATTTATATATAGAGGAAACGTGAGAGAGAGAGAGAAGGGGGGGGGGGTACCCAATTAAAAAGTTAGATTGAGAATAAAACTGTGTATAAATTGTATGACGTAACCCATTAGATTTCATATTTAATTAGTGCAGTTTTTGTGCTACAGGTGAAAAATATCTGTGATATTTTCGATATTACCGCGCAAATAAATACCTAAAATGTATGCATCAAAAGTCATCGATAAAACACAATGAAATAAAGTGGATCTATAAAAAAAACTCTGAATAATTCAACCCACGTGAATTCTTGCGTAATTTTGATTTGATATCGCACAAAGATATTATTGGTGAATAATTGTCAAATTAAATAATTGTCGCTAGAGACTGTAATTCGGAAAATGTGCAAATTTTCCGGATGTGTGTTATCTTTTGTGGCGTAATAAGCCGCAATTCTGATCGAGCGAGCATTCCGCAATTGAAAATTTCAAATTATATCATACACAGTGAAGTACATTTAGCATTACACTAGTGTAATTAAGCGAACAGCGCTTGTTGTTATTATTATAGTTCACTAATATACGTATAAAATAATGGGAATTGGTTTCACATTTGAAAATATCTTACCGATATGCTTTTATTGTTGGCATTATTATTTCGAATGCGTGTTGCCGCTGGCAGTCGCGGCGAGTTTATAACTTTCCTCCTTTCATAGATAAATAAGTTGCTATTTCAGCGCTCGCCAATTAATTAGTCTGATAATTCCATGTGTTACTGCGGCAAAACTGACAAGTCCAAATTATGTATGTAAAATAAATCTGGCAGCGTTAAATTCTCTGTTGAACATAAATGCGAAATGAAAATAAACTCTATTTAGATTTCATTTTTCTAAGCGATTCAATATCTCATTAAAAATATGCATATAGATTTAACGTACACATATATAAACCTTTTTAAATTAATAATTAAAAATAACAGACTTTTAACTCTATTACAAAGTTAATATTTTTGTTATAACTAAGCGGAATTTGTGATTTTTATTTTAAATCTTCACTTTATTAATATCTAAAAAAGATACTTCGATCTGTAAATAATCCGATTTACTCGACGATAAGAATTTTCGCTGCTCCGAAACGCGAAGTTCTTGAAGTGCTCTTGCGATTTGCCACATAATTGGCGCCAGGAAAGGCAATGGAAACGAACGGCTGGTAATCGGAGAAAAAAAACTTGCCGCAGTGATATGATAAAAGCTCTCGCGGATTATAGACACAGTTGTGAGATATGAAAGTGTACGTGTGTATAGGGTACTCGAAAAGGTACTCGAAAGGTATATACACACTCGCGCAGACCAGACAGCACAGCCGGAAACGTTAATCGCACTAATAGTGGCGGCAATATTTTACGCTCGCGCCCGGTAACGTGTTTCGGGCTCTTGAGCCGTTAATCGTTCGCTAAATAAAGCCGGGAGGAACGAGGAAGCCCGTGCAGCGCGGCTGGACGTTAATGAATTCGACAATTCGCTCGCGTGCTCACCTAACTGCAATAATAACGGTCGTTCCCCGGGCCGGACGGGACCGGACCGGGGGAGAGATCATTCACCGGGTAACTCTCGTCGGACGAACGGCGCTCGGAGATCGAAATAAGTGAGCAGGTGAGCCCGAGGATATCCGCTTAATTCACGACCGCCGGCCGTCCGTCCAGCCGGCATCCCGCCGCGCCGCGGTCTCGGCCGGTCGGTCGGTCGGTCGGTCGCGATCCGAAATAAAACAGCTCGTTTCCATTCCATTTTCGTTTGCGTTCGCGAACGGCGCAGATTCGCCGGATATTGGCCGGAATAATTGGCTGCGAGGACCGTACCGACGTCGAGTTCGCGTGTACGGGAACGAATACAGGGCTTGCGGGAGTCCCGTGAATTTACATACTGATATTTAACACGCGGGGGAAGGGGGAGGTTATTTTTGTACGCGGTGTACTTTCCAAATCGCGGTTGGCGGATGTGTTTTGCAAAGCGATTCTCGTGAAAGTGCGAAAGGAGAGGTATACATATATGTATATATACAATACATATATTCCGTGAACGATAAAATTGCGTTATCAATTAACAACGAATTAAAATCAATTAGAACGATTTAATATCCGCTATTGGTATATTTAAAGCATCTACATATTTAGTATTTAAAACCTGTCCTTTCATTCATCGTTTTATCGAGTCTTCGACGTAAAAGCGGGGTTGATATCATTTTGCTCCAATGAATTTGCAGATGAAGTACGTCAGGCGTAACAAAAGAAGTGACGTTTCCGATATTCGATGTAGTCGCATGGGAGAACCCGAGGGGAGGTAGCGCGCGGGCGAGGGGAGAGAGCGAGCAAGTGAATGACGATGAAAAAGAAAGTTTGTCAGATATGTCGATAATACGGGGTAGCCCCCGAGCCGATTACTCATGCTCTTGTCACGCGGAAGATCAAACGATACAACTTCTTGCTTTCACGTAATTCCCCGCTGCTAATGCGTCCCGTTAATTTCGATACCCCGAGTGGTGTCCCTCCGACAAATTCAATTCATAGCCAGCGCGAACCGTTAACTGATTAATCATAATCTATTTACGAGGCGGCGACGGTGGCGGCGAGCCGTGCGCGCTCGCATTTCGACAGCGATATTGCCGCATGGAAAGAACGATCTTGCTGGATACAGATCTGAAAATAATTCTTGTCGGATCCACTGGAAAGAAAAGTCTAGTAATAATAATTATCCAACCTAAATACGAGTAACAGTTACGGAACTTTGGCGAAATAGTTTCCAAGAAATATTCGGTTATAATAAAAATGCTTTATAAATATAAATATTGATAATTATTAGCCAAACGGCTGATTACTATATTATTATGTTTGATAACATTCGCTAAATGTTGCACCAATATGCTATAAAAATTACATTGGATGGATGGCTATTACTCAGACTTCTTTTTTCAGTATCAAAATAATTTTGTTGGAAAGTATAAAAAAAAATGATAAGCACTGCTATAGAATACTTTGCTAGCCTAGCAATCAGTTTGACTTTCCGGCAAAATTATTTTCACGGTCCAACAAGAATTATTTTCAGATTTGTATCCAGCAAAATCGTTGTTTCCGTGCGCGGCGAATCGACGCAATTTAGGAGCAACGTTCCGGCATTAAAATCACGTTGCCTTTGAAATCGCGCGCTGTTATTTCTCAACAGCGGAAAACTCGCGCATCTGTGCATCGTGAGGAACGTAAAATCATTTTAAAAAAATCGGTTGTAAAAAGAACTCACACGGAAAGAACGATTTTGTTGAAAGGTCTAAAAATTTTGCTAAAAACAGATCCGAAAATAATTTTTTGTTGAATCATCAAAATAATTTTTTGAAATGTTAAAACTGATAGATAAAGCATTGCTATAAAACGTTTCGATATTCGATAGCAATTACTTTGACTTTCGCACACAATTATTTTGATTATTGAACAAAAATTATTTTCAGATCCGGATTCAGCAAAATTGTTCTTTCCGTGCAAAGGTAAGCACATCCCACGTCGTGGAATCGACGCGTGCTGCAGGAAACGCGCACCGCGAACGGGACGGGCTGATATACGCAGCGCGCGCTTCTGTTTCGTAGAGGGTATATCGTATAACCAGTCACCGATCGATCATTCGGGCCCGCCCGCCCGCCCGTCATTTCTCCACGGCGAGCTAATTTCCTACTTCCTAAAGAGCTTACCGAAGTGAGTTACGGGTTATTTTTACCGCGAAGGATCGGTCTCTCTTGTCCCGTCCTACGCAGGAAGTTCTATTTGCCTCGCCGCTTACAACGAAAATACTCGGTCAACCCTCATCGAGACGCGCGCGCGCCCCCGCGACCACGATCGAACGATTTTCTTGGGCAATTTCCTGCCACAGAGAAGATTATGTCAACGGTATCCGCAGAACTTCCTCCCCCCCCCTCTCCCTCCCCCTCCCCCGCCCCCGGCAACTACTCGCGCGTCATTCTCGATATTTTCGACACGATTAAATTGATAACAGTACAAGGAATTTCCGGCCGATAAAATGTATACACATACATATATATATTCGAATGTTTCTCGGTATATCGAACGAAATAAGCCTGGGATTTATTCAAAGTGATTATCCACTCATTAAATATCTATAGACAATAATGATGCTTGATCTCTATATATACGCGGCATATTATAAGCGCGAGGATTATGTTTCAATTTAATCGCTCCCCCCATACACATATACCAATTCCGGCGCAACGTAATTATCTCTTCTGCAAATATCGCATCGATTACGAGTCTCTTAATCCATTATGCGTCATGGCAATTGCAATCTGATGTATAATGATTTGCTGAAGCACGAGCTCCGCTTTCGCGTTTTTCGTTAAAGACGTTTCGAATTTTCTTTATCGCTCCGCGGGGCATAACGTTAAATCTCATTTCCGTCGGGATGCGTGCAACGCGATTATTTAAAGGGATACGCACTGATCGGTATTACTTGCGCGAGACTTGATCCTAATATTTGTCCCCTCCCCGCGTACCCCTCTATTTTATGCGTCGTCTGCAATAAAACCCGAAATGAAATCAAGGTGCACCAGCACGTGCGCGCGCGCGCACGCGGACGACGTTTCTCTCGTTGATCAGAATTGATTTTATCGAATTCCAAGCCCGGAGTCGAACGGCCGCTACATCTAATCAGACTTGTTTCACGGGATACCGGCGAACCGGAGGGGGATGGTTGGCGAGGATATCTCTGACGATATATCGGGCGGATGCCGGACCGATCGATTATTGGTTTTCATCGAAACGCGGGGTATCCGATGTATTATTGTATTGGCGGAAAGTCGACGGATCTCTCCCTCAAATCCTCGCAGAAACACAGACCGCGTCCTTCGTATCTTTTGATAGCCCGCCCGCTAAATTATGTGAACGGCACACGATCGCGGCAGAATGTTATTCTCGCGCAAAACACGTCGATCTCGCGCCTTTATTTGTAAAAATCGTTAACGCACGGAAGGAACGATTTTACTGGAAGATAAAAAAAAATCTGGAAATAATTTTTGTTAGAACACCATCAAAATGTTTTGTCGGAAACTCAAAGATAACAAGCATTGCTGTAAAAAGTTTTGATATTCTAGCAATCAGTTTGACTTTCGAACAAAATTATTTTGATGGTGCTCTAATAAAAATTTTCAGATTTTTTTTTATTTTCCAACAAAATCGTTCTTTCCGTGTGGGCGGCGTATCTTGCAACGGTTATTCCACGCGATCCAAAGTGAAATAACGTTTTATTTAAAGTCCGCGACGTCGTACACGTCACACTGTCATCGGCAAATTATCGACGAACATTAACGAACCTTATACGTCTCGGATGTATTGTATCATAAACAGTTTCTCCACGCGTCGACTCTCCGGCATAACAAATTTTCCAGTATCCTAAACACCACGCCGCGTGGCGACCGTGGCACATTAATAATCTCCGCGCCGTTGCAATTAATTGGCTTGCTGAAGGTGGTCTGCAATTTGAGCGAGCTACGTTTTGGCGTGATTATATACCTGCGCCGAGGTAATAAGATCTATATTGGGGAATATCCGACAGGTAGAGAGAGAGAGAGTGAGAAAGCCGGTAATATTCGCTGACAAAACAAACGACGTACATTGCGAAGATACGACGGGGAAATAAATTAACCCCTGATGTTACCCGCGTACATGCTATAACTTCAAAGCCCACGCACCTAGAATCACCATTGTAGGCGAGAGATCGTTGCACGTAGTTTTCTAAATCGCGGAAAAAGATCGCGAGGGGGGGGGGGAGGAGGTGAAACATGCACTTTGCAGTCAAACAAAAAGAACACGAAGAACCCTCTATCTTCATCCTCGTCACGTTTGATTCCTCGCGATCTAGTTTCGAGAAGCTTCGAAGCTTCGACAAGACGAGAGAGAGAGAAAGAGGTGTCACGGAGGAGAGGAATGCGACAATATCCTGTCTCGTCGTGGCGCGGGCAAAGTTCCCCGGGAGGAAGAGAGCGGAGCGGCAACCGTTCCCGCAGGATCCACGGAATACTCGTGGCCGGAAACGCAAGGACGGTGATCGATGTATAATCACGTGAGAATGTACAATTCTACCTCGCCGCGGTGGCGTATCGTGTAACGCTCTCGCGGCGGGCGAGCGCGCACGTATTCCCCTGCCAGGAAAGAAACTAATGCCGGCAATTCGGAAGTTTCCCCGGTTTAACGTTGAGGAAGAATGGCGATCGCTGCGGTGCCCTACCGCGGAACGAAAAATTAATTTTGCATCCACGATAAAACGCGCGCTTTTTCGGGCCATAAGCTCCTTAGTCCCTTGCAATCTAAATTTTTTAAACGCTCTCTTGACCGCTTCTGAAACACATTTGTTATTTACCGTGCCCCACATTTATTTTCTTTGCCGAGGAAAAAATTGCTTTACTTCAGTTTCAATTTATAATCGCGATGTGGCGGAGTCTCGTTGTATCAGAAGCAGGGAAACGTATATAAGTAAAAAAAAAGGATAAAATTCAATGGTTTTTCAAAATCCTAATCAAGTTAAGAAAAGAATTTAAATAAATTTAAAATGAAAGGAATTATAGGCTTTGAGAATAAATTTAAAAAAATACGTAATGAAGTAGAGCCTAATGTGAGCCGACACGGATGTTGGCGTGTATAATAATTTTACTGTCACGAGCTCCACAAAAAGAATTTAAAATAAATATTTTCCTAACAGACGCTTTCTCGCAATTTTCGCATTGTGACATATTTAAATCTCATGTTAACGCATCAACTGCAGGAGAAACGATTTTGCGCACAACGCGCATATAGTGGATCTGATGTTTAATTCCGGGTTTAGGCGACGCGAAACACCGAATTAAAGTTCCGCGCCGGCACTTAAATACCTGCGAGCTCGCGATAAATCCAGCCATTGGAGCGTGGCCGACCGGATTATTTATCCCAAGATTATTTCCTCGTACAATTCCAACTTCCGGTCTAATCCTCCCGCCGATCGGCTAACGCCCGGTCGGGCCCCGCCGGAGTCACCCAGCTCCCCGAATCACGGAGCCCCGGTGGTTTACGGCGCAGTTCGCCTCCTCCGGCGATATCGCGGGCAAAAAGGCGGCATTACCGGCGTCGCTCATGGGCTGCTTTTATTTCAGGAAAGTCGTCGAACAATTTCTCAACGGATTATACCGAGATTTGCTCTCCGGAAAGTTGGGTAATTCCTTTACAAGTTCGCGCTGGAAGAAGTTTCGCTTCCCCCTCCCCCCTCCCATCGCCCGTCCTTCTTCTTCCACCCCCTCCCCCCTCCTCCCGCCTCTCTTCCCGTCGAATCACCGTCCGTCTCTCGCGCTCTCCCTCTTTCTCTCTCTCTTTTTCCGTCTTGCGTCCTACGAAGACAATGAGAATAATTTCCTTTCGCTTCAGGGCGCCCCTCTGACGCGACGAAATTAGCGGTTCGGTTTCTGCGGATCCTCAAATCTGGATTAACGAGATATCGTTTTAAAAAGTGACGGATGAGCCGCAGCCGCGTTAATCTATGTAAAAGTAGCTAACGCATCCGCCTCAAGGGAACTTCTGCTTTTAATAAGAAACGAGATACGTTACGTCATCAGCAATATCTATATATGACTTGTATGGTATATAATTTATATATGTACAGCATGATGTACCTTTGAAATAAAGCTCACTTGTCAGTTGCTGCTCAACAGTACGGCATGCTTTTTGTTTACAGAATAGCAATGGATTACAGTGCCAAGTACCTGATATTTTTAGTTATAAGCCTGGCATTGTCCGGGTACGAAGCGGACGATAAGTACCAGACGAATCTTTCGAGGAAACGACGCTACGTCGTTTTTCCCGAAGGCTCCACATTTTCCGTAAGTATCGGTGCAATACCGATCGATTATCGCGAATAATCCCCAGTAATTTCCACTTAAAACTCAAACACACGGTATTATTATTCATAGCGCATATAGAAGTTGTTTTGTTCATGCTAGCTTGAATAGATTTTTAGAATACGGTAAATATTAATTTAAATGCAAATGTAACGGGTGCATTAATTAATTTAACATTTAGTTGTAAGGGACGTCGCTCGCAAGCTACTGCGTGCGGTAATTAACTCGATAATTAATTACTTAACGATTGAATGCACTTGCCAATAGGTAATTCTGAAGTTACACGGAATTATTAAATTTTATTATTACCGATATGTGTCGTATGCACTGTCACATTTTTTGCGCGTGACTGAAATAATTTTCAGCTAATGGACGAGATAATTCAATTGACAGTTATTTGTTACAATTTTTTTAAAGAACGTAAGAATGATTGTCTTCTAATTTTCCATCACATAAGATTTTTATTTATAACTGCAGACGCAATAAGACTATTAAGTATTAATCTTCTATATAATAAGCTTCTTTATTATAAAATGTTTTGTTATAGAAAACCATAATCTAATTCTTTAATTTTATTCTCAAAGTATAAGATTCGTCAAAAGAATTGCGGATTTTATTATACATATATCAAATGGAGGTAATATTTTTCGCCAATAAGTTAATTTTAATTTAAGATTTAACGAGATGTTTATTAGTATCAATATTATTATTTAAAAAAGTTAAATTGCTTCAATTTAATTTGTTCCTATTTTATTTTATGTTACATACTCTGGATTCAATCTATATGTGTTTCAAACAGACGATACGCTCAGTTTGCTGGAACTGAGGATTGTAATATTCACTCAAAAATATTATTATTGAGTACTAAAATCCGCTTCAGACCATATTTGGTATTTTCTTTGTTGTTGAATTTTTTACGATCTTTATTAGGTCTCTTTTTTTTTACTAACGTTATATTAAATGATATCGTAATAATTATATTATTACGATGAAAATACAAGGATGTTGAAGTAGTGAACCATGTAATCTAATGTACTCGTATTGTGGACTGTTTGCAGATCGCCCTCTGCTTGACGGTACACACCCTGACCCCGGACAACATCTTCACCGAGGGTCTTAACTGGGGCATCTCCTACGACCTGCCCAACGAGAGTAAGCCCGCCCTGGAGCCCTTCTTAGAGCTGAGGAACGATAAAGTTAAAACGAGCAACAAGCACGATCGTTACGGTTCCACTGCGATCGCTAATAGGTACGGCGCCCTGAATTCAGGTTGGAGCAACAACATCAGGCAGGGCTTCGCACCTGGCAAAAAAAAGTACCGCAAGTCGGAATACTATTACTTGCAAAGGAGACACCGGAGGGAGCTCTACAACAAGCTGGAGGTCATTATGAACGCGTAGGTAGTTCCCGCTTACTTTATTTTTGCGAAACTTCGTAATAGTTAAAAGTATTGACTTAAGAAATTATTAAAGTCACACCAAGAGCGCTTTTCTTGAAGCAATCTAATTTCCGAATTTATTTTGTGAATTGAATTATGACGTACATTGTTGGAAAATTTGTGTTATATTTAACACATTTCACATGTCCCAAACGGTCCACTTAAAATTTTTTGTTAATTTAACATAAGATGAATATGTTAGAAAGTAACAAATATTATATTAAAAAATTAACACAAAAAAATGTAACACTGACACAATTTGTAAGCAAACTGTGGAAACATATTTTTTCAATAAAATTAACATTTGTGATATGTTAAATTAATACGTATTTTATCCATTTATGTTAGAACTTTCATTTTAAAATACATTATTTTTATGTTATTTGTTTACTTAATCATAGATTGTATTATTTTAACACTAAGAAATGTTGAATATCAATTTAACACAAAATATTTAAATATGTAACATAATCATATTATGTTAAACTGACACTCGAATATGTTAAAAATGTCAACACAAATTTTAACAAACAAGTGAGTGGACCGTTTCTAACATAAATACAAAATATTTTTTACTGTGTAAATTTAGGAAAATATCATTATATATAAAAATGACAAGCGTACAAAGATCTCTCTAAATTTGAATCAGTGGAAAAGTCAGTGATTGAATTAGTAACGTCATCGTTAATGAATAAGTAAAATAAGCTTTTCACGTTTCATTGATTTTTCAATTGAATTTCACTGATTACCAGTCACATACCTGGGACTGGGATGCATTCAATGAATAACCATTGATAATCAGTGGATTATCCATTTCATCAGATTTAGAGAATACATTAATTTTTTTTAACAATAAAGAATTATATTAATGTTCTTACGATAAATGCAAATTTGTCCCAAGAAATAATTCTGAGTTTGAATTTCATAAAGCCCTCGCGCTTGAGGATTGAGTGGAGCACTTGCAGGGCACTCTCTGCGCGCCGATCGATAATGCATAATAACGCGAACGGTTGCATTAAGCAAATTATGATAATAACACGATGGTGTAACGATCGATGTTGTCTGAATTGCGATCCGATTAATTCCGCGCCTGATATAACGATTAATAGCATCCGCGCGCCCGCGTTAAGATAACAATTTCTCCGGATCGACCGTCTCGCGGCCCACCGCGCGCGCGTCATCCATTCAAATTGATCGAATATATTAACCTGGATTTCAACGTCTTGAGGAGCGAGAGAGAGAGAGAGAGAGAGAGAACGCGACAAATTTTCATGGGACACGCTCGCGAGACAAGAGACACGCTCGGTAATAAAATGGAACGGGCGGTTTTAGCGGCTTTCGCGGAGCGATCGAGGCTTCGGGCCGCCTGTCTTGTCTCTTTATGGAGACCCGTCGAGACACCCCCTCGACGGGGTTCTCCTTCCGTGTCATCTATCGCGGCGTACCGACACGTATCGGCGACCCCGCATTAACGGTGTGGAAAAGCCGATACATCGCGATAACGATGGTCTCGCGCGGGACCGAGAACTCTTCGTGCCGCGTTCGTGTCGGCCGAAGAAACGCGCTATTATCACATCGCGCCAGCTTACAATTTGTCAAGTCATATTGTATTATCGGACGGACGTACGACCGACGGCGGCAATTACGCCGCGCCCGGATTCAGCCAATTAATTTTAATTGCCCGGCGAAAGATTCGAGATCCCGCGTTTTACCGGAACACGCTAATATTAATCACCTCTAATGCCAATTGCCCGATTATTCATAATGTATCAAGGCCATTTTCCCCAGCAAATCTTAAATTAATAAATTAACTCATTCATTATATTCGTCTGCGTAATTGAGAACATATATAGGGGAGAGTTGCCAAAAGTGTACCGGTCTCATAAAGCGTACCTCTTCAATATTTTAGTTCCCCTTAATAGAAGCAACATTTAGTAACAAAAATATGAAGTAAATAAAAAATGTATAAGATAAACAAAAAATGAACAGATTGTTTTGTGCTATCAACATTTTAAAAAATCAGATACGCAATTGATGTAAATTTTTGATCAATTTATATAGCTAATATTATTGTAACCAATGCAATTTTTAATTGAATCATTATTTTTTCCTGAAAGAAAGTTTATGATAGCATATTTTACATTCATTGTATATACATATTTACAATTATTATAAAAATTATATCAATATTTTTATCATCTCTGTCAAGTTTCCTAAATCGTACCTAATCAGCATAAGAGTTCTTATATCGTATCGGTACAATTTAGGAACACTAATGTATCTTTATCTTTAGATCACATGACATAATCAACATTATTTATTTTAACACGATCGAAGTTGTTCTGTAGCAAATCTGTAAAGGAAAAAACCGTCATCGAGTTGCGTAAGCAAAACAGCTATTATTTAATAAATTACAATTAAAGTAGGTATTAATTCATGATTCTTTTATCAATCTTGTGTTTTTAATTATTTTCAGTCATAAATTAAATAGTTTAGAAAATGGTACTACTTATTAATAAAACTCCAGGTACGATTTAGGCGACCGGTTTGCTGAATCGTGCTTTTGACAGCATGTTACAAAAAAGCTTAGAACAAATTAATTTGCTATTAGTGAAAGATTCAACATGTAATATTAGATGCCTTGAACATCAAGCTAATTTCCGACGTTCGTTTGCATTCTAAAGTACCAAATGTGAAATATAACCAAAAATATCTTAGGTGGTACGCATTCGGCAACTCTCCCCTATGTATATTTACGTATATCTACGTATAATACTGCTGCTTCTCCAGTCAAATGTTCCTTTTACATCGCACGCAAAGCTTTGTTGTAATCTGTCGAAATCGATCTTTTTTCCCTCCGCGAAAATATAACCTGAGACATCTTTCTTGTCGCAATTCACATCGGCCTACCAAGCGGGCAAAAAACAATCGTACATTTGAAGAAATTCCGCGGCACATCAATGAAAAGACTAATCCGCGTTATTTATAACGCTCGCGAAGAAAATAACTTGGCGACTGCAACCGACGTCGCGCGCGAGGCGACAAAAAGGGGGCCATTTGTCGAGTCCCCGCGCATAATTCAGCGAAACGCGTTCATTGCATCCCTCGCGACGCTTTTGGCGACGTTTATCGAACGACATTTACTCCGCGCGCGTTCCGTCCGCGGAATAACGAGGCGAGCGTCAGAGTATTGCGGCTAATATTCGCAATGAAATCATTCACCCCCGGTCTCGCCCCGAGAAGATGCTAAAGCGACGGTTTACGCCCGGCGTCTTGTGGCGACCGCCTGTGGGTTATGCAAGGAACGGCTCTCTCCGCGTATAACGCACGAGTGTGTGTGTGTGTGTGTGTGTGTGTGTGTGTGTGTGTATGTGGACGACACGTCGCCGGTGGTTTAAGGGATTGGTCGGCGGTGGTAGTGTCGTTGGTGCGGCTTAAGGATAGCATGAATCAGAGGGTGACGCTACCACGGCCGCGGAACGGCGCGGCGGCGGCCCGATAGCGGCGACGCGGGGAGGAAGAGGGGAGGGTGGTTGTTTCTGAACGGGTCTTGGCGGACCATTTATCCGTTTCTCGGGCCAACGACCACGGAAAAATAGTCTCTCTCTCTCTCTTTCTCTCTCTCTTTCTTTCGCGGCCGAGGCCATAACCAGATTTATACCCTCTGCCAGGGTGGTCCGATTATTTTCGTCGAGCGTTTCGTTCCAGGGTCGTATAAGGCCGCGCGCGGCAATAGCAGCGCCGAGCGCGCGTTTTTACTTCAAGGAGCGCATAACGCTCCGGGGACATTTAAGTCGGGAACCTTTTGTAATATAACGTTCGCGATAGCTCGCGAAGAAATCCTCCGAAAATGTGATCCGTAGCGCAGAATCGAATATCGAGCGTCTTACTTCTCTTGTAAAAAAAAAAAAAGAAAGACATTTGACGGCGAAATTAATTTTTCTTTAACTGATCGCTGCAACAAAAAGTACAGGAGCGTCGATGTAAAGCTATATAGTAAATCATAGTTAATGAATTAGACTTTTATAATTAAAAATATTTTCGATTTTTGCAAGAAGTTTTCAAGAGGAATATAAGAATAATATATGTTAACGTATAACTTTTACATTACGTTTCAATATATGTATATGAATGGAGAGATAAGCTAATGGTATCCCATAACGTAAAACAATCGGATAAAATGTGTGCGGCTTATCAGATTGTTTATATTAGGCAGGCAGTACTATCTATCTCATCTCTCCAGAAGATCTACTTCGTTAGATCCTTCCTACAAAATAAATAACAGGCATTTACTCAGATTCGAGTTCGTCAATTGCGTGTAATAAATTACGTTGTCCTTTTCCGCCCAAAAACACATTTGTTTTTCTATTATCTATAATGCGAAAAGTTTACATTGTCACGATTTAATTTGCTTGAGGAAAATCAAAGTTTGTAAGATGACTTTTACTTTGCAAAAGTAAATTGTACTAAAATATAATAGAAATCTTGCCTTAATTAACGTCAAAAGAAAAGCTCATTAATTTTTAGATTAACAAAATTTAAAAAATTACACTATTAAACATGCAACTATATATGCGTCTAATATATATTTCGTATCCTTCAAAACCTTTTAACTTACTATTAAAAGAGTTTTTCGGTAAAAAAATACACACACACACACACACACACACATATTCCCTCGTAATATCGCTCTTTCTTCAGATTCTGTAGTCAACGGGAAAATCTGATAATTACTATCTCCATCTTGCCTAAGATTTTACCGGGTACAAAGTAGCAGTGATAGGCAAAAAATTTACTATCGCGAGATCCGCAGTCATGCAGACGAAAAAAAAGTCCAGGCCGAATTTAATAAAAATCGAAGTGTATTTTTGAAACTTTTTTTCAGCGAGCTATCTTAAGGACGCTCTTTAATCTTTGGCGAAAAAAAATGTACGAGGCACGAATCCGTATTAGGTCCCCCCTTCTTTTTAGAATTAATAAGTTCGCTAAGAGCTTGTTACCGAGAAGATGGATTATGTTCTCTTCTCGAGCTTCTACTTACGTAAACTAGATATTAATCATATTTATTGACCAATTTGAATTTATAAGCATTTATCAAGGAGGAGGTTTTTCATCCATACTAGGATTCACGGATATATATCCTTAATCATCTTTTGCAAACATTTTTTTTTATGACAGACCTATACTTTATTTTTATCTATATTTTACTGAATTTTATCTGTATTTTACAGACGTTTACACAGAAGTTTCGCAATTCTCTTTCAGAATGGGCTTTGACGGCCGGACGTGTGTTCTACGCGCGCTTTGCGAAGCATCCCAACGATTAATGCCGAAGGGAAACACCTTAATAGAAGAAATGATGAGAATATCATTCTCGTAAGGATCTTTAAACGAGATGGACAGGTTTGGCAAATATGCGCTTCGAAGGATCGCGGGATTGGTATTCTATTTTTCGAATTTCTTCCTCTACATTTCACTTTAAGAATTCATGAATATTAAGTGCCGCGTAACTTTAAAATAATGTGATTTAAGAAAGCAGGAAGAGAGAGAAAGAGAAAGAGAGAGAGAGAGAGAGAGAGAAAGAGAAAGAGGGGGAGAGAAGAGAAAAGAACAAATGCAGCGGAAGAGATGCAGTTAACTGATGCTAAGTAGGTGCAAGATTTATAATAACGCTAAATAAATAACACTGGATAAATAGCCTTTCTTAGAGCGAACTAAACGCAAACTGGGTTTACATTTTTATAAACTTTTATTATTAACTTTTTGATTATTTATTATTAAGTTTTGTTATTAACTTTTTGATAAATGCAAAATCCTTCTTTACACCAAAAACGGTAAAAGGATAGAAATTTTTCGCGCTTTGATGTTACAATTCGAGAACGGAATTTCTATTATCCACTTGACACTAACTGCTCGATATAATTTTATATAGTTTTGTCAACTATTTGTCCTCTTGCTTGTGAAAAACTCTTCACTTTCAAACATTCGCACAAAAGCTATCGACAGCGTCTCGACATTTTTGTTCGATTGTATAATTCGTTACTACCACTTGACCTATATCTACTTGAAACACTCTACATAAAATCTTGTATTGTGATATCATAAAAAGATGAAAGCTTTTATGAAAAAATTTATTTATGATAAACCGAATTTGTGCACTTTAATTTTCTTCTCAAAAATATGTCACAAAACTAAGTCTAATTTCCTAATTAAATTTTTACAATAAATTTTTCACTTCAATTTAATTTTTATGTGAAATCTACTTGCAAATCGTGTTTCAAAATGTTCTGTATCAATCTATTTTCATTCTATTTCTTTTAAAAGCTAAATTCAAAATTAAATTGGATATAACTATAAACCCTCTTCATAAATAAATAAAATAAGTTTGCCAAGACAAACGGATTACGGATTATATAGAATCATGATTCATACATGATAACAAAATTTCTTCTATCTAACGAATCGAGGGGAGGAAGACACTTTCTCGATTACTCTCTACATTCGATTATTACGAGCAGCCTACTCATCATCTTAAAAAGCAAACGAATCGAGCAAAAATTGCGCGATTCGCCAGAATTAGTAATCTTTCGCGGAATTCCCTTCGGAGAGGCCATTATTTTATCATTCTGGAAGAATATTTCGGATGTAATTTCTCGCTTGATGATACAGGGAAAATCAAGACATGCGGTCCGCCATTCCTCCTCGTCGATTTTCCGACGATCCTTCGACGCGTAATTCGATCATTGCCATGTATGTAGGCGGGACTGAACGGACGGCTTGCAATCTAAAAGATAACTCGCTTCGCCCATCTCTCGTTGCAGATTACCTCTGAAGAGAGTGTTCTCCTTCGAGCCGGAGGAGCATCGCACGTATACCCAGGCTCATAAAGCCGGCCACGAGGGCAAGGACTGCGCGGCCATGTTTCCCGGTTGCAGTTTCTCCCTCATCGACTTGGCCCTCGGGAAATATAACGCGCCCCCGTCCGACCGCCCCGGAGATGCCGCGGACCGCGCCGGAACTTTCGGCACGGAGGACGGGCCTGCCGTGGATTGGCCGGGATACAGCATGAGGTAACGCGATGCATGCAAACGGCAGCCTGATTTCATGTTTGCTGCGCGCGAACGCGCAGGGTGCCTCTTACGACGCTGATGATGACGACGACGACAACGACGACGACGACGACTTACCCTCGATTGAAGTAAACGATCACCATGAACATCAGAAGGATGCAAGTTTGATAGACTTTGGTGTGGTAATTTCGAGCATACAGATAGAAGAAAACTTTGTTCCTGCAATAATCTCTTAATTTCATAAATTGCTTCTATCATTGTGGTTGCTCCGGATGTTGTACAAAGCAACAAAGACATAAAATACTAGAAGGAAAATTTGTAATAACTGTAAGGGAAGGGAGAGAAAGAAGGGTAAGCTGACAACCTTAAGGTTTATCGATTTTTCGTAATTTCTGTGATGAAATAATAATAATAATCTATTTTTTTTAGATTCACTAAAACCTTACTTCTGTTTAAAGCAAAAAGTTATTTGTAAAAATGAGAATTTCTTTTAATTAATATTTTTTTAAGGATATGCCAGTTTTTCGTCATCTTGCCCCCATATGGGTAAGATAACTTTCAATAGACAAAAAGTTAAGTCAAGTTAAAAATGTTACAAATATACATTAATTATTTATAAAACATTTTATAAATAATTATGAACAAAAAATTACATGTGAGTCCATCTAAATACATATTTCTCATTATATTATTCGCTTTTGTGGACAGATTCAGATGAAATTACTAGAGATTAAGTATCATTATCTAAAGTCTTTAATAAGTTACGCATTAACTCGTCGACTGTTATTCCGTTTTTTTTTAAATAAGTATGAAACGCTAATTTTAAACCAGCGTTGTAAATCTCGCGTAATAATGTAACTGTTATCAGCCTAGAAATATTAGCAATTCGTCATCTTATTTCCACTTCGTCTCTCTTCCCTTTTCCCCTATCTGACACTTCGTCCCTCATCTTCTTCCCTCCCCTTTTGCCCTATAATATTAACGCCCGACACCGTGATAATTAATGCTGCTATTCGTTCTTTATCGCTATTATTATTATCGCGTGCAAAAGCACAAGCGCGAATTACGTTCAAACAACTAATATACGATTTACGAGCGGTACATCATTAAACAGAATGACAGAGTTGAAAGTGGGACGCTGAAAACGAGGGGAGAGAGAGAGAGAGAGAGAGAGAGAACGGGGGAAGGGGGAGAGGAGAACATATGGCGCCGACGAGGTGGATATGGTAGGTACGTCCCCATAATACAAGCTATAACTACGTTCCTCGTTACATCATTACCTCGTATTGTACAGAATAGCATGATTTAACTAATTGGATAGAATTGTATTGAATTGAACAACACGAAACGCCAGGATTGGAGCCAAGAAACGAGAAAACATATATATCGGGAACCGATAAGAGAGGATTGAAGAAGGAATGGCTTAAGGATCCTGTCGGAATTCAAAGGAATGTACTCTGCAAGTATTTTTCTGCAAGTATCTCTCCAATATCGTATATGACATTTTTAGAATACAGAGACCTCTTTTCATACCTCGCGGCATTATTGCGCGAGGTTTGCAACGTTGGTTTAAAATTAGCGTTTCATCGTGTTTATCAAGAAAAAAATCACCGAATGAGCTGATAATCGAAGGATAATCAAATTTATCAATTGAATCGTTCAAAGGTATATATACACGTATTTCGGTTTTGACTATGGCGCTTAATGAGAAAATAATCCTGATTATTCGTGCGCAATGAACAGTACATATACGGTATCTTTTTAATTACATTAATACGTTTATAAATGAACACTGCAAGTGTCAATTGTTGCAGAATACGAGGCTCATATTGCGCCGCGTCCGTATAACTCGCGTAAATCACGGAATTCAAAACATATGCGCAGTTGATGCAATTCGAATGTGAATAAAGCCACATTTTGCATTTGTAAAATTGCACTTGAAACATAATTATAATATTTTATGCGAAATATAAATTATCGTGCATTTAATAATTTTTTAACAGTTTACAAAATAATATGGAAATTAAGTTTCGCAACGTAACTAAAGTACGATTGTAAATAAAATACGATCGCAAATTTATTTATTTATTTATTTATTTTAACAATATTCTTAAAACTCGATTAAAACAAATTGATTTTAGCATTCAGATTTGTATAATGAATTCTGTAATAAATAAACAAAATTTTACGGATCTTTCAATATAAGAATGAAATCATGCGAGAGACGCGTCAGAAAAAAACTGCAATCGGAAAGTTATTGTACATCCGTCTTTTTTTTGTATTTGCTCTACTTTCATTTTGTTTGTTCTACCCATAACTTCCATTTAGTGCAGGCTAACCATTTTTCAGACATGTTATAAAGTATACAAGAAGATGCGATAGGGGTTTAATCGTGCACGGCCGATGTGGATTGGGTGAGATATGACACGAAATGGGACGATGCATCAAGAAGCGGTGGAAGTAGCGGAAGGGGGAGGGGGGTGAGTGATGGAAACTGGAGAGGAGGAGAGTACCCTCGAGATAGCACTTATGTTGTATTTGCACGTGTCATAAATACTTTATATCTTCGCAGAAAAAAAATGATAATTTTGCTGAAAATTTCCCGTCGTAACTTATGCAACGTCAGACGTAAAATTATTCCGCGTAGTGTGTAAGTCCACTGATTAAACAATCGCGATATTTTTTGACAGATTTTAGAAGATTTTATTTGGAAAGCCATAAGAGAGAGAGAGAGAGAGAGAGAGAGAGAGAGAGAGAGAGAGAGAGAGAGTATTTTGAATTTTATTTGAGCGTAAAGAAGTCACGCATTTCCCTTCTCTCTTTTTCTAGGATCAGTCTATAGTTTCTATGTATAATCTTTCGTTTCCGTTTCTGTTCTGTTCTTCCTCATCTTTGCTCGCCGCTCTTATCTGATATCATAGCGGCGTTGCTGCATGGAAAGAACAATTTTGTTGAAAGATCTAAAAATTTTGCTAAATATAGATCTGAAAATAATCTTTTATTGAATCATCAAAATAATTTATTGGAATGTTAAAACTGATAAGCATTGCTATAAAACGTTTTGATATTCTAGCAATTGTTTTGACTTTTGCATCAAATTATTCTGATTATTGAACAAAAATTATTTTCAGATCTGAATTCAGCAAAAAATTTTTCTTTCCGCGTGCGAAATAAAGAATGAAAAATTACTTCGGCCCTTCGCGAGAAAGAACCCTCGGGCAACACGCACCGGTAACGACATAAGAATGACGAGACTGTTTCGTCCTGTGGGTCACCGGAGAGACATTGTGTGCGATAGGCCCATCCTGCCCATCGGCCGGGAGAAATTGATTTTGGATTTATTCGGTGACGTTATAGTGTGTCGCGGTGGGTGTCTCCATGGGAATAAATGACACTCTCGCGGCGCCGATGATATTACTGGCGATGAAAGAAATCCGATATATTGATTGCGAGGGCGAAATAAGCGCGCGAGGCTCGTTAATAGTACTAGACAATTTTCTCTATTAAAAGTTAAAATCGTAAAGCAACCAGTTCTGTTACTTGCTGTTCCTCCTTTCGCTCGTAACGAGATAGCGCCGCCGTTTGGATAGTGCCGCACGACGATGGAAAGATTCCAAAAAGAGATCTTCTCCGCGGTAATGCTACAACTTTTTTTTCGTTATTTACTTCACATTAATGGACCTGCGTAGGACTTTCTGGATGACGTTAATGCCGTTAATAGCCTCGATAATTTAGCGCCTTGCGGACGCCGTTGGATTTATTCGCATCGAGGCTGCTGCGGGTGAAGCCGGGGGTCTAAAATTTTTATTAATTCAGACTCGACTCGACGAGAGAAAAAGAGAGAAAGAGAGAGAGAGAGAGAAAAAGAGAGAGAGAGAGAGAGGAACATAATAAGATGCCGAATAAAATGCGAATAAGATTATAAGATATTTACGGAGTTTGTCACTCCGCTGCTGAAGCGGCGCGCGACGCGGCGGAGAGAGGCCATTAGACGCTCTCCTCTCGCCCTATTTATACTGCAAAGGTTGCTTTACGTTTTATTGCCGACGTCGTGTTTGTTTTGCCGGTAAGGGACGCCCTTTTTGCCCCGTTACAAGGTGCGGCTTTTTATCATTATATACACGGCGGGTGCGATGCACCTGTCTTGGTGTGCGAAAGGCCGGTGCACAGCCGCCTCACGTCACACGTGTAACCCTACACCTTCTTCTGGAACCTCGCTGGAACGGATAAAGGGACTTCGACGTCCGCATCCATAATAGGCGACTCGCATATCCTGTCCTGAGTAAAAGCGTCGGCAAGCTCGCGTCGTAAAGTCGCAATTAACTGTAACAGGCGTGCGCCGAGAGCGCGGAATTAACTGTAATTCGGGGACGCGTTCTCTAAATCGGATTAAACGAGGCGAATCTCGGAAAGCGGCGCGAGAGTTTTTATCCACCCGCCATAATTCAGTAATCTACGTTGTAATATGTACTTACGGCGCACGAGAATACGGGACGCGCGTAACGCGCGACCCTCCCGCTGCAAACAAGTTAGCGCGCTGCGTGCGCGTCTAACGAAGTGGTCGAAATCCGGGCGGCGCGGATACAACGGGACGACGGGCGGCGCAGGCAGAGGCATAATTTCAAATGCCGTACTTTTCCGATTTTTTTCTTTTTTTTCCAATTTCGGCAAAGCCTTAGGAGGCTTTAATGTCCCGCATCTGCGCGATGATAAAAATTAGATTTAAGAAAATTACGCCGGCATAATTGCACTGACGGAGCATTAATGTTGCCATTTAATGGCAATTAAAAATGGGGAAATCCAATTTTTTTACATTTTCGGCGGCCGCTGCTCTATATCTTTCATAGCGAACTTATTAAAATTAATACACGCGGGCAGGGACCGCCGACCTGTAAGATACATTAGTGACGGAAATTAGTTCTCGTTTCTATCCCTTTTTTTCCCTCGGCCTTTGAACGTGTGTGACGCTCCATTCAAATCTATATTTAATCGTAGAAAAGGAAT